GGAGCGCCACCGCACTCCCAAGCGGCGCACTGTAGCAGTGCGCCACCGGGCCGGCCCTTGACTTTATTGTTTAACTTACTGCGTTCCCCTCTTAATGAGGTTGGGACAGAACTGGTTTTGACTATTTGTTCAATTCACAATGTTACCAATATAAGGAAGAGTCACTGACTGAGGATCATGGCTTACCTAAACGTTAGAAACTTCTTAGGAAATTTAGGCTGTCATTCAACAACGACCAATTATTTATATCAGATGGAATGTAGAACAGGTATATATATATATATATATATATATATATATATTTTTTTTTTGGTTTTTTGCAGTTCACCAACTTCCTTGCATCTTTTCTCCTAATTTCTTAGATAATGTGTGCATCACTGTGAAATCTTACTCAGCCCTTGAAACTTAAGAGTATTAGTCAATTCTCAAAATATATCTGCACTTCTTGGATATATTACAATTTATTATATAATAGAAATTAATAAACATATTGACACTGTAGTATAATTGTTTTCTGTTAATTCTGTCTTTCAAACAAATGTTCATAATGAACACAGGAATCGGCGATGAGATGCTGTCACTTCCGTCAATGTATTATTCCTGTTTTTGGTTGGGGGAGGAGGATTCAGGGGCATGGTTATATACTTCTATGTATATGAAGATGCTTTATTTTTAATTTGAGGTTGACTGTATATCCAAAGTTACCCTGGATATTTCTTATCATAAGTTAAATGCAGATTTATTTGTGTATCTTATGCATAAAATCTTCCCAGACAATGACATTTACCTATATAAGGGAAATTCTTTCTAAAAAATGACATCTTATAAATGTATCTTGAATACATTAAAAATTTATAAATTATTACCAAAATCCATTTTATTTCCCAGAGAAAATTATAACCTAGATCCTACAAAGGGAATTACAAAGAGACAAACTTTATCATACTTACTCTTCTGCTAGTAAATAAAAATTTCTGTTGTTTGCTCAAACATTACAATATGAAGACTCCAATGTTAAAAGTGATATTTCTAGAAAGGTATTTATGTCTTCACACCCACTGGCATGTCTGGGAATGTGTAGAGCTCTCTGTGGTTTCCATCTTCAACAAACTGGGCGGACTTCCTCACCATAGGCTTAATGCTATTATAAGCCTCCAGATATTTTCTCACTGTCTCCATCACTGAAAAGAAAATAAGTTACTCTAAGGGCTGAGGAATGTTAGGAACCTCATCCACTGATGAAAGAGATGATATTTTAAGGCACCAGGAGAAAAAGAAATGCTTTTACAATATCAAGTGTGACTTTTTAATTTGTTGAAAGTGCCACTAAGTGGAAAAAACAAATGCTCCTTGGGACCTACATTCAAGTCATTAATTAATTTTCTGAGTAATGAAGTTTGGCAAAAATAAAATAAGGAACATAGGCTTCAGTGGGGACTGTGTCCTTGGAGATAGGAGGATGTTGCAGCAGCATTTGACACAGGTCAGGAAAACAGCTATATCATTTCAATTACATAGCTCATTTCTTTTTAACACATCTACTAAGGCATTTGGATGACAGTAATTCTTTATTATATAAACAGAATTATATATGAATCATTATTACCAAACAATTTTAAACAGATAAGCAAAATGAAAAGTTTATACAATTATATAAGGCTATAGCTTACGTTACAGATCTTATCCTTCCAGATATTTCTTTCTCCACATACAACTATATTGTAGGTATTCATTAATGCATAAAATTTTCAACCACATGTCATAATTGGAGTGCAAAATGTATACTTTTAGAAGATGGCAGAATAGACAGTCCCCTGCTTCACGCTCTCCCACAAATCAACAAATTTACAACTATTAAAAAGCAATGATAGCCAAGCTGGGGCTGCTAGAGCTCAGGGGAAGAGGAGGAGAGACCTATGGAGTGCATGAAGGCAGGAGAAGCCATGAAGAGAGTAAGAGAAAACCACTCCAACCATTTTGAATCCCAGCTGTTTCCAGGCTGGAGCTGCTGAGCTCATGGAGCAGGAGCTGGCAAAAGCCACAGCTGTGCCTTCTGGATGGAGTTGCTTGGAGATGGCAGGGGAGAAGAGGGACTTCATGGTCTCCAGGCCGGCAATACCACTAATAGGTTTCCTATGGACCCACATAGGACTGAGGAGCCACAACAAATGAAATCAAGGAGCTACTTAGAGGCCAGTGAGTCATTACAACGGACCGGAGCACAGCCTGTCCCATGGGAAGTATTTGGAGCACAGGCAGTGGGGGAGATGGGCCCACCAGAACACTGGAGCACAGCAAGGACAGCTGATCTGCCTTCCAATCAGCATAGGACACTCAGAAGAGACTGGTCAGGAATATAGAATCGCATGGGGTGCACTTTGATGAAAAGACTCACGCCCAGACCAGTGTTTCTACATAACCCAGGTACAGCGGATTTCACCAAACCCAGAAGTATCTATAAAGTCAACCATTAAAACTGGTGCCAAACAAAAAACCTTCCTCAGGGAATCAATAGCAAAGCAGCAATTTAGCTCAACCATAGAGCTCAAATACTGGTGCCCACAGGAAGTTCCCCCACTATAGAAGTAAGCAAAGGATAACCAATTAGTTTCAGTGCAGAGTTTAAGTGGTGGGAACAGCAAGTAATCCAACACAGAACTGAAAGGAAAAACAGAGTACCCTCTGGGGCCTGCCTGGGTTCCTGAGGTATGGAGCCAGGGACTGGACTTCCTTCCACAACCAGACACAATACCAACAGCATGGGTCCTGCCCAGGGTCCTGAGGTATGGAGCTGGGAGCCACCAGCAACTGGGTAAGGAGCATGCCAAAAGCATCACCTCCATGTGGGTATCCCACCACAGCCACCACAATAACCATGGATGCTGCAAAAGTGGCTAGATGCCACAACAACAATGCAGATGGTCCACCAGCCACTGGAGTGCATTGACACAAGGAGAGTCACCAGTAGAGACCAAAGAAAAGAACAGAACGTCTCTCTCCACACAGCCCATTTCAGTGACAGAAGAAGCATCTGCTCTATGATAATATTGGGGGGCCTGAACACACCTCTCAGCATTGGACAGATCATCTAGGAAACATATCAAAAGAGTAACCATTACTCTTTCAGAAGGAGAGAAGAAATCTAGGGCAGTTAGAGGGGGGAGGGCAGAGGGGAGGGAGATGGGGAGAGATTTGACAAGGGGCATAAAGAATAATTACGATTTGTAATAATGTATATGCAAGTAATATTGATTTGATCAACATATGTCAACGTTGAACCCCCAAAATATGCATAATCAATTATGATTCAATAAAAATTAAAAATAAAAAGTGTACTTTTAAATGGGTGCATTTGTTGTCTGTAAATTTTATCTCAATAAAGTTGATTTTAAAGAAAAGAAACAAAAAATATGCTTTTATGATTGCACAATAATGTGAATGTACTTAATGTCACTAAATTGTGCACTTAAAATGGCTAAAATGGCAAATTTTATGTTGAAATTTTATCACAATAAAAAGCATGTGCTTTCATGTATTTAAACACATCTTAATTTATCACATAATAGAAAGTTCTGTTTTTTTCTAATTTTTCATTATTAATAAAGTTAGCAGTATGAATATTTTGGCAATTTTTAAACCAATCT